ACAATTTGCACGATAGTAAATAGGGCATTTATTAAAGTCACAGATACGGCATATTTGGGATTCCTGTTGATAAATTCACTTTCTGCAATAACACTAATATATGATGGTAATGCTAGCAAAATACTACCCCAGGTATTTCTCACCAAAAGTTAAAAGCATAGTACTTACCAAGCAGGCATCCCTGTCTTGGATGCAGAAGGAGGACACCCCTTTGGCTGTCTCTTCTGGGTCTTCTCTCCACAGAGTTGTATTCCATCCATATTCTTTATATTCTGACCTTATCTGTCCCCTGTCCTGGGGTGACCTTTAGCATGATTTGGGTGGAGAGTCAAATACTATAGTCACATATGTTTAGCATGTGCTTTGTTAAGCTTATTAACATAGTCAGAGGTGTGAGCTTTAATATGCATATTGGGGATAATGAAGCAAAAGGTTTCACTCAGGGCAATGTGGCCTTCAGAATTCTGTGTTGAAGCAATTTATCTGCCTTCAGGATTGTGCTGAAGTCATCAATCTTCATCTGTCCACAATCTTTAGCCAGAACAGGGCCATCCTGGCACCACAAGACTCCCTCCTTTGGCTGCTTCTCTGTGCAGGCCTTGTTAATCTCCATCCCCAGTGTCTGCACAAGACATGAGCAGCCCCCTTGGGTTAAAATCTCGCGGTAAGCTAATTCTGCTGTGGTTATTTTAGATAGAGATGTTCCATCACTTTACATGAAGCAAGCACATTACTTGTGTACTCTTTATAATGCAGACAAGGATAATAAGCACCTGAATATTGAGCAGATACATTCATTGTTATGTGAGTGATGACTAGGAATAGCCAAACCTTTTTGTTTGGTTTTGAATCTAGCGGAGAAAGGAAAATGTTACTGGAAGCACATGGCATTGACTACTGGCAGTGGGTGGAAGCTTGGCACATGATGGTTACTGGGGAGATGAATCTTGAGAATGTATGAATTTACATCTCAGCAAAAATGTTCATTAATGTGAAAAAGTAATTGAAGAGGTATGCAAAATGTGAAACTCCAGGAATCTTTTCTTTTCTGTTTTAGTAGTCTGAGATCTTTGTTTTGTCAGCAGAGAAAATAAACTACTGCCCTGATTTGGCTTTGCATAGCTCTTTACAAGGAAACCATCTAATTGTGCTACTGAAAATCCAATGTTACAACACCGTTGCTGGTCATCAGAGGCAGAAGTGTGAGGCATTGTGATTATTAATACTTTATGGTCTTAGAATTTGCGCATGAAGGGATCTCAGTTCTAATTTGCTGGAATTCAAGGTATAAACAAGTACTCATCACAAATATGATCATTTTCTGAGTGAGATAAAGTACATTAATAGTGGCTGTGTAGTCATTGTGTAATGCTCAAGACAAAAAAACCTATATAATCCCAGCAGAGCATAATTAGCTAACTTTCTAGTATTGCATGTACCTTGGCAGATGCAAGATTGTATTACTTTATGAAACAAGTCCCTCTGATTATTCTTTAAGCTAAATAGAGATGCTGATCCACTTTGGTATTATACATTGATGTGGTGATACCAACAACAACAAAAAAGCATCAATGCATTCCCTTTAATTGTGCATGTTTTTCTGTCAACCTAAATGTAACTATTTCGCATTAACAGTTTCTAATTTGTAAATCAACAGTTAAAAGCTTATTTATACTACCTTTCAACAAGACCTCCCTTTCCTACCTCTCTTAAAGACGTTTGTGATTGGACAACATTATGTTCAGCACAGTTCATATTTACCATATCTGCTCCAATATTTGGTGTATCTCCTCCTCATCCTCAGAGTTAGTTTCTTAAATTCCCGAAATAGCCTTTATTTTCCCCACAATTAAGTGGTCTGCCTTTAGCTCCCTGTTAAGGTCATCAGATTTTAATGCAGATGCCTCAGCAGCAGCTCAGGCAGATTGGACACACAAGACACCCGCGTGCTGAGTGTGCTGTCTGAACAGGCATCTGACTCCTGTAGACGCATTCTTGAGGGTAGGAGATCCAAATGAGTTGTTTCAAGTCCTGCTGCTCTAGTTACTAGGTTCTTATTTTCACCTAAGAATCTAAGGCTAGGTTCTTATTTTCACTGAAACTGGTTTGTCGCAGCAGGCAGCGAATGGCCAGATGCAACAGGATGCTTTTCTCCCTCTCATCGTAACAAAAAATCTTGAAAGGTGAGCCAGATACATCTCCTTTTCATGCATTTAAAAAAGTTAGCCACAGCTTCCTCTGCAGCAGTGGCAGAAGTTTCACCGAGAATGAAGAGGATTGGAAGGATAAAGCAGATAAACATACAGAGACCAGCAGCAGTAAAGTGATTAGAATGGACTTCTGGAGATGTCTATTAAAAGGAAATCTGCGGTTTTTCTGGCAAACCAGTAACCAAGAGGATGAGATTTGGATGTTCTGTAGAAGGCTGAGAACATCAGATAGTCTCTCATCTTTGTGCGATAAAAGTTAAATCTGCTGGTGCTAATCTTTCCAACTAAATCCACTTGTGTTTTCTGAGGGTGAGGGACTTGGTGTTCCACAGCTAGATCACCTTTCAGAGAAGAGTCTGTCTTTATTTCAGATTTACATTAGTTGGAAATAACATAAAATAATAGTATAAGGTAATGTAAAATTTTGCTCTGTCTAGATATTACAATGTGCAGATTATCTTTCTATGAAGTTCCTTCTTAAAATAACAGGTGTCCGTGTATATGTTCATACACAAATATTTGTGTATATGTATATATGTGTTTAAGCCAGCTACGTAGTGAGCTTTCAGTATCTTTTCTTTTGCAGTTTAACTTTTACGATAGGAATTGATCCCAAGAGTCACAAAAATATCATGCAAATGCAATTTTTTCCTTTTTTTCATATACCAAAGTTCCTGTTCTTTCAAATAATGTACGAGCTTTATGCTTAATTTGGCCTCATTTTTCTTGATCACCGTTTGCCAGCATCTTTTTCATTCCAGAAAGCTGGGTGGTTAGAACTAAACGTGTTTTTAAAGATGATATATTTCTTAGAAGTTTTTTTGATAGACTCTAAAAAACTGGTGGGCGTCTAGTAAGGTATTAAGTATTTAAGAGAGTAGTGAATATTCTCAGGTGCATCACTTTGCAGCAACTCCTGAATGCCTTCACTTGTTGAACACAGAAGTTGCTGCTGCTGTCAAAGAAGCAGCAGGACAGAATACATGTTTTCACCTCATTACTCCAGTTCACAGTCCAGAATATTAGTTAAGCCAACAGTGAAAGTAATTTTGTGTGAAGACCCCAGACTGAGAACTGGAGTAGTTAATGCACCAGTGGACATCATTTTCTGCTCGCTGTGCTATGGAGGGTGGTACCGTCCAGCACAAGGAGTGGACAGGCTGGTAATCCTTAATTATCCAAAAAGTGTCTGCATGAGCATATGCTTATGTGAAGTGTGTTCTCAGTGCGTGAGTAGATCTCGCAATTTTCCCAGTATTCCATGATACCAACATTCAGAGAATCCAAAATATGTGGGATCTTCTTTCTTCTCCCGTATGCAAGTAAATGCCATGTTTTCTTTGGAGCATCACTTATGGCTTTTTCAGCTGTACAGTTTTCCAATTATCTCCCGCTCTCTGCTGAATCACGGCTGCACGGACAAGTGCTTCCCAGCACACGCGGTTCCATTCTGAGCTCTGCAAACCCCGACATGTGCGGGTGGCTTTTCATGAATTGGTGGGGAGCCAGAAGCTGAACCTGGCAGTAGGGCTGGCAGGACAGGGGTTTCTCCCTCCCCCAGCCCGCAAGTGAGGCCAGCAAAGCAGCCCTTACAAGCCAGCATGTTTTGACTGTGGTTGTGGCACATTTGGGTGATGTTTGTAGTTCAGTGGAGCAGGCTTCTGGGTAAGCAGAAAGGAGCAAACCAAATTTTTTTTAGTACCATAAGCTACCTTTGCAATGGTGTGTACTAGCAGGGGAGAGGCTGGTGTGGACATCAAGAACTTGCCCAGACCCATGCTTGCATCATTTTAACGCAGTCAATCTAAAATGGTATCAAAGTGGTAGCATATGATGGTGTCTGAGTTGGGCCATTCTCTTGCCCTGTTACGTTGCTTAAGTGCACACATAAGCCCTAGACAAAAATACAACATGTACAATTTCTGAGTGCTTCCTCTTGACTGGTGTTCAAAATGACGTGGCAGGCCTGTGAGGGAACTGTCTGTTCTTTTGCTGGCTAGTGAAAGGATACTTTGGAGAGTTCAAGAATAGAGGTGATAATGAAGACGTGTAGGAATGCTTCCTTTCCATCTCTCCCCAAAAAGACTGACTTCATACAGTCAATTTCTGCTTATTGAGATAAAGATGTTATATAAAAGTCTTAGGTAAATTAGAACATTTATTCCAAATGAGAAACAGTTTGTGATACTTTGTAAGGAAGTTGGGGTCTGATTACACCAGCATATCTCTAAATCCCTATATAGTTTGTTTGGTCAAGTTTGCCTACATGTAAGTGATAATAAATGGTGCAAAGAAATGGATATCCATCCCACTTGTTTTGTTTTTATAAACCAGCAGCTATGAAAGCCCACCATAGCTTTTTAAGAAGTTGCTAAAAGAGTATGTTCTTTTTAAACTTTAGAGTCCCAATAAATCAAACCATGTTTTACCTGGAGGTTGTCTTTTTCTAAGTAAATGTAAAAAAATGTTCTTCTTTCCATGGGAAATCATTATTTCCTCTTTTGTGAATCGTTTTGTTAAATTAGGAAAGCCTTAAAAAAAAGCCCTCATGTGATGATAGTGTGTGAAAAATGTAAAATATAATTTAGGTGGTTTTTTTAGATGAACGACTTTTTCATTGTTTTATTGCTAATAGCAAATGCATTTCAAAATTGAAGTAACTTGTTAGAATCCACATCTTTACACTGCTACTGAAATTGTGTTTTGATTTCTTTGACATGATCCCTGATTGCTGTGAGAAGAATCAGTTCAGTATTTTTGTTCTTAGATTCCCCCTCCTTTGTCTTGCAGCTACTTGTGGCAGATTCCATTAACAATTGCAGTAGGAAATACGAGCCACATCTCATCAGAGGCAATTATATGGGTGTCTAACAAATCAGGTAAAAATAAACTTTCCTCCCAGTGGAATCTCATAAAGAATACTTGTGTTTTCCTCAACTGTTTCTTTGGAATTGATCCTACATAATTGTGTAGTTGCTCTGCACCCAGTTTTAGCTACTTGAAATGAATTACAAAAATAGGAGAGTTGGGAAGGGAGGGAGGAGGAATGGAGGATGAGCAACAAGCAAAACACGGAAGTTAGACAGTATAATGAAAAGCTTTTACATAGAAATGTGTACCTAAGTGATAAGTATTATGTATTTAGCAACATATATCAAATCATTGATGAATGCAATTCAATTTATTGATTGGTGAAAGTTAAATGTAATATTTTTTATAGCAAAGCATCTGATGAGGGTGACTTAGTAAATGCAAAGTGTTTAGAATTCTGGCATTTTACACTGTGATCCGTAGTCTGAACCAAGGCTATGAAATGTTTACTGTCATTAAAAAGTTTCATTATTGATCTGTCACAGTATTTCTTCTCTCTATCAGATAAACAGATGCTGGACCTCAAAAGTGCAGTATTCTGCTTAATACTTACTTTCTCCCTCCTCAGTTCCTACATGGTCATTATAGTTACTGACCTGAGGACAGCTAGGGCTAGATAGTTTTTTTATTGTCTACTAGAGGAATTCTGCCATAGAAAATTGATGAAATATTTCTCTGTTTCCTTAGCAGTTCATGCTACATCAGCTAACAGTTTTGGACTGGAATTGAAGAGAGTGAGGGAAGAAATGTGGAGACTTGAATACAGTGGTATTCATGGAAGGGAAGAGAAGGATCCATGTATCCCAACACACGGGCTGTAGAGGCAGAAATGACCTCTTCTTGTAAAATTAGAAGGGTATAGAGATTTCCCTCTGATTGAAATTTAACTGGAGAGAGGAAAGAGTCAAACCTGTGTGAGCCTGTGATTTTTCCCTTTTTTCTTTCTTATAAGTCACTAAAAGATAATGGTCACCTAGAGCTTAGCAACCAGCAGGACTAGAAGTGAATTGTACACTGTCAATGGAAATCTGAGTATGCCAACTTTCTAGGGGCATAAGGTACGTGTTTCCTTGCCCTGATTGTTTGCAGCCAATTGGAATATAACATGCTGCTCCCATGGTGTAGTGATACAGAAATGTGCCTGGGACCAGGGCAGTTTTCATACCTGGAAAACATGCTCAAGTCAGAGCACACAGGTGCTGCCTCACCTTACAGAAATATATCTCATTGGCCATACTTTTTAATATTAACATATTAACACCTCCAGAATACTTCAAAATCTTTTTGCGCTTTCAAGGTCTACTTTAATGACTTTTGTCCTTTAGGGCTTGATTGAACTCTCATTGAAGTTACTAGAAAGATTCCCACTGACTTCAGAGAGAGTTGATCATCTCTTCTAATCTCATTAGCCTGTACATGGCATGCCTCCTTCCCTTCACTCCTGCCCTGAAAGTTCAGCATATCATTATTATCTGCACAGTTGCTTCTTCATTGCCTTTTACTTGCAGAGTGCTGTGGAGGAGCAAGTCCATAAACCCACTACCTCCTTTTAAGATCTACTGCTCCTATTGGAATGCTTTCCAGAAATCAACAAATTAATGATAGCCAGTGTGAGCAATGATTTTGGGGTGGCTGCTGTATAGAAATTAAAGAGCAACCTTTCTGAGTCATCAGTTTCCTGCGTAGCGAATCAATGCCACTGTGATCTATTGTCATTATCCTTGTCCTTTCTCATTACTTTCTCACTCACTTACTTGCTGTGCCTCGTTGAAAGTGAGACTGTAAACTTACCACTACAGAAAGGATGTCCTCTTGCTCCTACTTGTTGTTGTCTAGCTCAGCTGGAGAATTCCTCAACGTAAAAAAAGTCAGTAAGAACATTCCTGGAGATACTCAGTATGTTTCATCGTGTGTGCTGTTATGTATTTGGGCTATTATAGATGATTTTGTCATATTACTGGAGATTTTCTGTTTGTTTCATGGGGATGTGGGAGGGATTCAGAGACTGGAAAGGATGGTTTCCAGGATTGATTCTTGTGGACGGGAAGAATCCTGAAGACTTTCTCTTATGGAGAAGATGCAGTTTTGATGTTGTCCTGCTGAGTAGTCTGGGAACAATTCTGCAAGCTGGAGGTGAAACAAACTATTCCAGAGGATGTTTGGAAGATTGTGAGTGGTCACATTGTTCTTCAAGTGAGTGTAATTGAATGCAAATACTCAAATTTAGAGGAAATGCTGTTCATGAGGATGGTTTCCATGCCCTCTTTAGGAAGGAGCAGGCTTCTCATTGACCTGCTGTGCTAAAGAAGCTTCCAGTGTAACCTGAAGAGTTGATAGGAGATGATGAACAGCTGTCTGTTGTTTGTCATTAAATACTGATCACATACCTCATATCAGCTGCCAATAATGAAAAGGGTCCAAGTTAATGTCTATCATTATGGTGTCTTGGCATATAGCTTAAATTTTTCAATAAAATTAACATTGTCAGTGTTATCAGAGAGAAATGAAACCACGGCAATTTTGAAATAGCTGTATGTGTTGCCATCAAGAAATATTCATTTTCTGTGGCAGTTTAAATAATAATTTCCCACAGGAGTACAATCCCTTCCTTGCACTAGTTCACTAAGGATGGTTGTTTTTTGATGAAAGAGTCTTCTTACTTATTTTTGCATCCTCTTTGCTACTGTGTCTGTGACCTCATCCGAGGTATTGTAGGATGCCAGATGGCATTTTCATGAGCAAGGATTAAGAAGCTGCTGTCCAGTCTTGTGAGAGCCACTGCATGTAAGATGCTTGGGTTGCTGCTCTCTACTCGTCCTGGCCATGTCTGGTTACATATTAGAGATAGTGAGGCAGGCAGGTCACTGGTTGGTCAATATGCTGAGCAGGATTAGTTCAAATAAATCAGATCATCTCAACTGCAGGTAGTAGAGCTCATTCTGTCCACTCTTCACAGAACCAAGGGGAAGGGACTCACTGGAAATTACAACTATGCAGCTTTTTTTTTGAGATGTAATTCGTTGTTCTTCGCAGCAAATCTATAGAGAGGACAGTGCCAGGCCTTGGCAACTTGCCTGACAATGTGCATAATCTCCAAGATGTTTCATATTCCATGTAGCTCTCCACACCTGTTTGTGGAAAGTACGTAGTCATAGCTTTGGAAGTTTTTCATTTCACAAGTGCTTTTCCCGATCTCTCTTCTCCTTACCCAGTGAGGCATTTTTCTACTCATCAATTGATATTCCAGCCATCAGATGACATTTTTACTTGACTCAGTTTTTCTGAGCTTGTGAAATGGAGCTGTCTCTTTCGCTCCCAAAGTACTACACAGACCACCACCTTTTTCCCTGTTCACTCTCCATAGCCATGGATGAGGCCATTCATCTTCAGACGAGTGACAGGTATTAAACCTCTGAAAAATAAACTTATCACGAAGAAGACTTTTCATGATTAGCCTTCCTGTCTCATCACAGTAAGATGGCTGCAGCACTTTTTATGCCACAGTCTTGTAGGTCTGTGAAATGATAGATTTCACCAACACTGTAGTGTTACAACCTTTCTTACTGGCATTGCTGTTACAAACTTCTGCACTGTCATGGATCCAGCGCTTTTTTCTGTTTATCCTAGATAAGTTGCTGCTTTTGTGGTTGCTGTAATGATGTATGAATATAATGTCCACAGTGTTTTGGGTTCAGCACAAAATCTGTTGGGGGGAAAAAGCTGAGGAGCAGCTTTGAGCTCAGCCTGTCCCCACAAGACAAATGCTTCCCTGGGCTTATGGGCAGGTGTTGGAGATTGCTGCTGAAGGCATACCAAGTGTGGAAGCACTGGCTCAGCTGTTACCTTTCTGCAAACAGAGGAGAAATGACGTTAACCTCAAGTGATGAGGTTTAGCTATCATCCGTTTCAAGCAGGTTAGCAGGACTGTGGACAGAGGCATCCTTGCCAGTCCCTGGGGGTGATCACTCTGGCACTCAGGCTCCAGGTAGGAAACACCTCCATGCAACACTGCCAGGACTTTAGTAAAAGCCTTTGACACTGTCTCCCTCAGCATTCTGCTAGAGAAGCTGATGGCTCATGGCTTAGGTGTTCTCTTTGCTGGCTTAAAAACTGACTGGATGGCTGAGCCCAAAAAGTTGTGGTGAAAGGAGTTAAATCCAATTGGCGGCTGGTCACAAGCAACGCCTCCCAGGGCTCAGTTTTGGGGCAAATCTTGTATAATATCTTTATCAAGGATCTGGATGAAGGGATCAAGTGCACCTTCAGCAAGTCTGCAGATGACACCAAATTGAGTGGGAGTGTTAATCTGCTTAAGGGTAGGAAGGCTCTGTAGAGGGATCTGCATAGGCTGGATCGATGGGCTGAAGCCAACTGTATGAGGTTTAACAAGGCCAAATGCTAGGTCCTACACTTGGGTCACCACAACCCCAGGCTCTACAGGCTTGGGGATGAGTGGCTGGAAAGCTGTCTGAAGAAAAGGACCTGGGGGTGCTGGTGGACTGCCAGCCAAACATAAGCCAACAGTGTTCCTATTGTGGCCAACAAAGCCAATGGCATCCTGGCCTATATCAGAAATAGTGTGTCCAGCAGGAGGAGGGAAGTGATCATGCCCCTGTCCTCGGCACTGGTGAGACTGAGGCTTGAGTACTCTCTTCAGTTTTGGGTACCATAGTACAAGAAAGACATTGCGGTGCTTGAGAAGGGTCCAGAGAGTGGCAGGAAAGCTAATGAGGGATCTGGAGAGCATGTCTTTTGAGGAGTGACTGAGGGAACTGTAATTGTTTAGTCTGGAGAAGAGGAAGCTGAGGGAAGACATTACTGTTCTCTACAACTACGTGAGAGGAGGTTGTGGTGAGGTGGATGTTGGTCTTTTCCCCCAAGTAACTAGTGATAGGATGAGAGTAAATGGGCTTGAATTGCACCAGGGGAGGTTTAGGTTGGCTATTAGGAAAAAATTCTTTACTAAAGCAGTGGTGAAACATTGGAACAGGCTGCCCAGGGAAGTGAT